AGCATTGTGGTTTCGTAAACTTACCGCTGTATCAACGGGGGACAGTATTTGTAGTACCTTGTGTAGATGTGGCATAAATTCCAACCAATATTTTTATTTTTTAGAACAGTGAAAATATAATGATTTATGGTAAATTTAACCCATTTACGTATTAATTCTGTGTTTCAGAATTTTAAAACATTTTTTCCCCTATCTTAAAGAAAGACAGTTTGAAAACCTTTTATTTAATTTACTTGTCTTCTGGCAGGTATAAACAAATAAAAAAAAAGTTTTATACTTCTTACTTGCTCTTTTTACCACAATGTTTTTTAGTATATGATCCACTTTTTTATGTTCGTAAATTAATTTTATTTTTTCTTATTACCAGAGGGTGGTTCACCGTGACCTTAAGTGTGAAAACCTTCTTCTGGACAGCAAAGACGTGCTCAAAATTACAGACTTTGGTTTTGCTAAAATTGTAGATAAAATTGAAGATGAAACTGTTGACAAAGTACCACCAAGTTCGCTAAGCTCCACGTTCTGTGGAAGTTATGCTTATGCCTCTCCTGAAATACTTAAAGGTGTTCCTTACATCCCACATCTAGCAGATATTTGGAGCATGGGAGTAATTCTCTTTGCAATGATCTATGGTCGACTTCCTTTCGATGATTCCAATCGTAAAACGTTACTCCAACAGGTGCAGAAACCCGTGGAGTTTCCAACTAATCATGTCGTGTCATTAGAAGCGAAACATTTACTTACTAAAATATTAGTTTCTGCCTCGTGTCGGATAAGTATTAAAAACATTCAAGCCGATCCTTGGTACAAATGTGTTCGAGATCCTAAGAAGTAAAATACAACAAAAATCGACAAAGAAATGATAAAAAAGGAATAAATTACAAGTATCTCTCATTAATTTTAATTTGTTCGATTTTAACGAAACAGAAAATTAATTTTCTCAATAATGAAACTTTCCTCTTTGAAATAATAATAATAAAGTAATTTAAATCGTAATAAGTTACTAGCACACTAAAATACATGATTCGAAAATAAAAACAGAGAATCCAGAACGGTATTTCAACTTAAGTCGACATCAGTCTAAGAAAGAGTACAAGTTTTTAATATTAACCATATTTTTTTTAGCTACGATAACATTTAGAAGCCCCCAGTGGCATAGCGGTATGCCTGCGGACTTACGACGCTAGAAACCGGGTTTCGATACCCGTGGTGGACAAAGCACAGATAGCCCATTGTGTGCTTTGTGCTTAATTACAAACAAACATTTAGAAAAACTTCTTATCTTTTTTATTATCTTAAGTTTTATTACTGTAGATGGATTTTCTCAATTACTTGATACATCAGTCCCTCAGATCATTGTTATTATAATGAATTAGTTAAACATAATACGAGTTAAAATGACGTTATATCCAACATTTAGCAGTTGCTTGTCTCATAATTTAACAGAAACGAAAAAAAATTCTGGACATCTACAATTAAATATCTATCAGCGTTCATGAGCAGATGCGTAGCTCGCATTTATGCTATTGTGACGTTAGTATCTTGTTGGGCTGATTTTGTTTTTAATTACTTGGTGAAAATAAAGCCAAGTCCAGCCCACGTAACAATAACAAAATATTTTTTTAAAATTATAATAAATAATTAAAAACAACGTTTTAAATTTACACAATAAAAATTTTCGTGCATATTAATAACAAAATATTTTCTTTCTTACTTAACCTACAGGCGTACTATCACTTCTACAGAGTTGTAGGCCTAAGTTTACAAATATCGTTTTTACTTTCAAATTCAAAGGATTTACTCACTAATTGTACAACGACTAATAAGTTTATTTATGTAATTTTACGTCTAATTGAATCAAGTAACCGAATATCGCGATACAGAGCACTGATCCAAATACCTCACTTAAACTAAATACTTCACTGAATAACCGACATTCTACCAATTTAAAACTGCCTCAACGATTCACTGATTCTTTGCTTATAAGTTATAATGTAGCCTTGTTTCTAGCCAATTTGCAAAATTTTTCGATCATTAATATTCACGAATGTTCTAGGTATTTTGCAACTACTTTTATCAACTTGTTTCATCTTAATTTCATGCGTTCTAATTTATTAATAATTAAACTAAATGTTTTAGCTAATGGTTGTCTAGCAATGTTAATATTATTTGTTTGTTATATCCTGTTATTAAAAAACTGTTTGAGGCCTGGGTGGCCCAGTAGTAAGAGTGCAAGAATATGTATCCGAGGATTAATGGTTCTTGTGCCGAAGAGAAATACGTTTTATTTCGAATTCAAGAAGTATTTGTGAAATAGTTATATTATAGAAATAATCTTCCCTTTGGATAACCGTGTAACTTGTGTAACTGTAAATATATAGCACAACAGTGGCGATTCCAGAGCTTAACAAACGAGGAGGCATCAATGAGGGCAAAATTTAACTGTGGAGGGCACCAATATATTTTGATCTACTTTTCAGTGCATCTACAGTGTTTACATTTACAAAGAAATATATCTTACACATGTAAAACTGGGGGAGGGGAGCATCTGTGGTGGCATCAGTGTTTAAATGTGGAAGCAAGGCTACGACAATGACGAAGAAGATGTCAAAAATCCAAAAGTAAATTATCTTCTAACCAAATTAAAACAGCATCTCAAAAATACTGGTTGCAAATATACTTACAATTTAATATTTACGTGTTTCTAAATCAACAAGTATCGTGATCAACAATTGTTTTCGTTCTGGATACGGAAAAGAAAGGCAAGAGGATTCCAAATATTCTTATAGAAACAAAACAACGACTAAGATTCCCGTCAATAATTTCCAAATTCTATTCTTCATAAAGAGCTAGGAATTATTATAAAGATAATTTATTGACCTTTAATGGCAACCCAAACAAAAAATATTAATATGTGATAAATGATCTGTTTAAAACACGGGCGCTTCTTATTTGCTTTATTATTTTATTTTATTTATTTTTGGTTTCTTTTGTTATTATTC